TATTATGTTACTGTATTCTTTGATCTGATTCTGTTTTATGTGGGCGATGCTTTTTTATGGGCGGTACAAATGTTTTTATAAAGCTCGCTTCAGCTGGACAATATTATACAACCAAAGGAGAAACAGATCGGTGGCGGCTCTGCTGGAGTTTCCCACGCATGCACTGCCGGCGACAATAGGAAGGTTTAGATCCGACTACGAAAGCGACCACGACGTTTATTGCTTTAGATTTGCTGCAGGACCTAGCCAGAATTAGCAATCTACCCATTTTTCATTCATTCATTCATACTTTATTTGATAATGCAGGTTAATTACATATGTCAACTAAAAGCTGATGTGGAAGTGCTAGGCCAGTACTGCCCCGAAACTCCAGACTTACATATATATCTAGCTTTTTCATGATATTTGGAGTTATACTTAGCTCCAAATTATTTTTGGAGTTAGCCAGTAACTCCACAATTCACATTTCAACTCAGTTTTGAATTACACAAGTTACTCAAGTGTATATTTTGGTTTGGAGTTGGCCCTTTAGACTACCGTCGCTCCATTGCTTCCTACTTTCTGCAGCCGTGCAAAGAGGATAGCAAACAGGGTGTGAAAAGGACCTGTTTACGGTGTATCCCCATGTGGTAGCCCCTACGCAAACAGGACGATTAATTTCTATCATGACCTGAAGTTGCAAAATATTTAGGTTTTTACTTTCCGCTTATAATGTAAGCAATTTGTAACTCTGAAAATTATAAATTGAAAAGTAGTTTGTTTCGACTAATACAGCAATGATGTTTGTGATGTTACTCTGAGTGTATATCCACACCGGGTGAGCTTGAAAAATATGCCCGGCCACGGTGGGAATCGAACCTACGACCTTTGGAATACTAGCCCAAGGAAGGAACTAGATTCTGTTCCGAAATATCACATACTCGAACCGATCTGACCGCGTAGCTCAGTTGGCTAGTATTCCAAAGGTCGTAGGGTCGATTCCCACTGTGGTCAGGCATATTTTTCAAGCTTGCCCGGTGTGGATATACACTCAGAGTAACATCACAAGCATCATATTCAGCTGAGTACATTACACCAACACAGAAAAATCATTACTAATACAGCAATGTTCCTGTTTAGATCTAACGCAACAGAAATTACGCAGTAAATCACACACAACAGACACTGAACAAGACAATCAAACATTACTCTTACAAATCGAGTCCCTACAAGCTCAACTGGAAGAACAAACTAAACTCTCTAGAGAGGAAATCGAAGGTCTTCTCGAGGATAGGAGAGTTCGTAGCGAAGAACACAGCGCCTCAACGGAACGGGATCAAGACAAGATCAAAAGCCTGACGGAAAAACTTCACAAAAGTCAAGATCTCTTGTACCAAAGCACAAAAGATTTTCTGGAATTGAAGTACGATTTGAGAGCACGGGAGAGACAGTGGATGATAGATAGGGATAGATTGGTACAAGAGATTGAACATTTCAGGCTGCAGGTGGATGTATCGGGCAGCAGTATGCTGGAGGCAACCGGAGTGTCTGTGGAACCACAGGTTATTCTTCTTTTCTTTCCCTATTTCCTCCGATTTAGAGTCTGGCAAAGAACGCCTGGTCGCAGGTCAGGGTCGGGCATTCTTGTGTATCATCATCCCCCGTCAGTCCAATCCACTGATCTGAAATAAGTCCAATCTCTTCCACAATTCTATCCAGTGAGCTCCATATATTATATTTGGCGTGAGAACTCGAGTCGAGAAAGTGAAGCCAAAGATAGAGCTATCCGGGCGTCGGTTTCATTCCCTTTCTGTTTTTGTCTACAAGGAGTGTGCAGTGTGCCGAAATTTCGTATTTTGACTTCGATTTAAAGAATACAGTTTACGAGCTTCATAAGTATTGGACGTCAATGGCCGCCATCTTGGCTGTACTTTTCTCGTAGGCCGAAAGACTAAAGTTCTTGCTCTGGATATATACATATATATATAGAGCTCGCTGGTCCAATCAACGTAAACATTCTAGTGAACTCTATGTCTTCTATCATCAGTCTACCAATGCTTTTATGGTTGAAAAAATATAGCTTTGTACAGCTTTTTTACACAGTTATTCAGCTTTAAGAAAGTATTGGGGGGGGGGGGGGGGGCCCCCCTCCCC